CATGAACTCTGAACAGTCCATAGTTAAACTTGTATTTTATTGATAAAATTCCGTCTCCTTGCAGTCAGATTCATTCCTTTTACGTAGGTCGGGAATAAAATGTGGTTCATCTACATATAAGGATATTTATATTAGATGTATGTATGAAACACATGCTGAATATTGGGGATAGTGCTCATATAGTTTTTTGGCCTTCATTTCGACCAGTTTTTCATTTCCATGGTCACGGTCACCTCCTGAATTTGAATATTAGGTGCATTGTCACCTTTTAAGTTTCAAAGTTTAGGCCCCTTGCATCACTGACGAGTCCTTGAAGCTGTGAGAGACTTTTAAATTTATTATTTGGCTCATATATAACTATAATTCTATATTTATATTGAAACATTGTATTCTTATACACATCATTTGTCCCAACCGATAAGACTTGAGGGAATGAAATGATGATATTCACAAATGCAATACTGAAAAGCAACATTGAGAATTAACGTGGCCGTGAAGAAAATGCATTGCCATTGAATTCAATCCTAGAATGCCCATATTTGCCACAGATATGATTTGAGTTTTCATTAGATATGTTGATTTGTCGCGTTTCATTATATATTACAATTTCGACACCTTACTGTTGTTGTATGTTTACCTTTATTTATTTGTCTCTGTTTCAATTCCAGTTGGTCCGACTCGACCAGATACCACACAGTATATAACCTTCACTGCTGCAACATGGGGTCCAGATACACATTTCCATTATGACAGGAGACCCTCTCGTCCTTGACGGAGATATCGTCGACCCTCTTCAAATGTCGGAATACACAGTACATCTTATTGCGGAGGGAGGGGCTCATATCACATCTACAATAAAGTTAAGTAGGCGGAACGCCAAAATATTCTTCCTGCCACTTCGAACGGAAACACTGACGGAATCTCGGTGTCTTGAGTTCCGGTCTTCTCTCAATTTTAATGGTAATTTAAATATTGAGGTGCATGATTCTTCCAATGAGGAACCTGTGACACAGGACGTGTTAGAGACCTCTGTATAGAGCTTACATTTTACATTGTAGGTGCGTAAACATCAAAATTTGTGACAACGGAATTCGTATAGATTCTTGCTTATTTCATAGGTGCATGAACCTCTCAGTCTAACCATGTGACAGTTGATGGGACATATACCGCTCCAGGAGTACAGTGTAGAGGTCAATGAATTTCATATGAAATTGAATGAATTTGGAAGTTTTTCAGTGTAATTCAATGATACATGAACCTTGAATAGGTGCATGAATATTAAAATCCAACATTTTTACGTGAATGTGATTCACTTATCATTGTAGACATCTTAATTAGATATGTGAATATGATTCACAAACGACTTTCAGTATTTTGTCTAACATAAGTGTTGTGATAATCTTATATAAGTGGCCTTCATGATTCAAATCAATAATTTTGAAACAATTCGTGCGCGCACGTTTTGTCCATTTTCTGCATTCAAAAACATTCAGTGTTTAAGTAGGTGAACATACTTCTGAAATTGTCTGTTATTTTCATCAATATACCGAGTACAGTAGTCTCCCTTTGAACTGTACTCGACAGTCAAGTGCGGCTACATCTGTTCTTTAATAGATCTTTGATCTTTCTCTATGTGTTATTATCCATATCTTACGTCATTCCCGATTCTTAATATAAACATAGTGACCGGCTTTCAGTTTCTGAATTCCTATTTCGTTACTGACTCTAGTGTATTCGAGAACGAATTTGTTATCATTAATGCGTGCATTTTATTATAATAAAACTCTACTGAGTTTATTACAATTGTTTACTGAAAGATTCAGCTAAACAAAAGTTGAAAGGGATAACCATCTAACAAATATGTGCTAAAATTTAATCAGCTTCTGTATACCGGAAAATGTTCGTCCCCGTATCATTTTCACCCTTTCCTTCCATGAACAGGGACGGCGAACGTAAGATTGGGGCGAAATTAAATTGCACATTTGTAACCCTTTTGTATAATTCTCATAGGGCGAAATGAACATGAGGCGAACTTACCTGGGATGAAATTATTAGCCAAGAATAATCTATTGAAATCTCTTTTACACAACTTCTTTTAAAAGTTTGTTAATTTGCTTTTCATTTATATATGTACAGCAAGTATGTACCTGCAGTTTAATATAATTCCGTTTTTATCTAAATATATGTACTTGTATTTTTCAGGACAAGTCTGCGAGAATCAACTGTCAACTAACCTCTAGAGAACCGTTAGAACATAACATTAACACACTTTGGTGTTTAGTTCACAAACAAACTGAAAATGTCACGTCCACGTTCAAACTTTTGCATCCTAACGCGTTACATCTCAAAATGAAAATGTCCATCATAATTTTTTCCATCACCCGCCCAACGAAGTTGGCGGAGATATTAAACTGGGTTCCATGCGTCCGGATGCTGGTTTTAGCATGATACGTTTTGAATGACTGATTGGATTTTGATGAAGCTTGATTGGTACACATGTTACCTTGATCCTTTGCCCAAGTTTGATTAATGGTGAATTCCGCGCTTATTTAATGAGACTGCTGTGACCTGATTGGCTGATTTCTTTAATCACTCTGTTTTCTACACATTATCTTGTGAAGTAATGACAAGATGTTTTAGGAAACTTGCTTTGTAGAATTATAACCTTAATTTCTTGTTCAGGTTTGATGATCGGCAAATTCTATGCATATTTAATGAGACTGCTGTGACGTGATTGGCTGATTTCTTAAATCTCTTAAGGATCGCGTTACGCACTTCTTTCAAAGGAATTATCATCTTCTTATGAGTCTTGCTAAGAAGACTTAGTACCTTAACTACGCACTGAAGTTAGATTACGATTAATTCCGCAAATATCTAATGAAGCTGCTGTGACCTCAATGACTGATTGCTTTGCAAAGGATATCTGCCTACGTAATGATAAAATTTAGATGGGACTTGATATATATATTACGTATGGAGACTGATTAAACAAGCTGCTTGTACCTGATTGTATGATTGCTTTCGGCAGGATATCTTCTGAAGATATAATAACTTTCATTTTCCAGCATTCAAAACGGAAATAAAGGTATGATAAGATGATTTCAACATTCACAGTATCATGCTGTTAAATTGTTGTTACATTGATCACTTTCAACAATCGAGCTTTAACCGCCATATAAACAATAAATGGTTTTAAAACTTGTGTTTTCCATGTTGCTCACTATAATGTATTTATTTTACAAATTAACTTGCGGGGAGGGGGATCTTGTTGACTATCACTTTTTCTCTTATTTTGGAAAACAAAATAGTTATGAAAATCTTTTACAAAGGAATACCAAAAATAGAACCGAGGTTCCTGTAGATTTAATACATGTATATTGGTGTTGTTATCGGATGTATGGTATGGCCTAGATAATCTGTTTCCATGATGTCATCATGTCCTAGTGGGGACATATGTAATGTGACGTCACCTAAGAAAGGAATATAGATCAGACTATCGCCAAGTTAGATTTTTTTTTTGCATCAGTCATATTAAATGTTGCTTCCGCAAATGTTTGAAAAAGAAGCTACATTACATGATAAACAGAAAATTATCTTCGTTTCAATAAGTAAGAGATTGATGAAAGTCGTGAAGACTTTTTTCATTTTACTTCTTCAGTGGCGCGGTAAAATAAAAATCATTGATTTATAATCCTTATATGAAATGAAAATTCATTTACAGCTACATGTAGGATCCTTAATGAACCTCACCAGTACAATTTGCGACAAAACGAATGTCAAGTTTCATTTAACACTATTTTCTTCATTCGTTATTCAGTGATAATTGAAAGAGTTTCAACTAATATACAAAAGTTATATTTAAATACATTTATAATTTTTGATATTTTTATGTGTTTAAATTATTGACAATTGTCTTGAACATTGACTTGGACATACTACAGTGCCAACAAATAGGAGGCAATGAACTGTTTTAAATTAATATTATCGCTATTTCGAGAAAATTAAGCTCTGGAGATAATGAAATAACGAGGTAACGTAGGTCGACTATCTTATAAATTATTATTTTCTCTTGATAATAAAATCGACCATAACTATTGAAACGGGAAAATAGTTGTTATAATTGTGACAATATTTGTATACATTGTAGGAAACCATTATGCACAGCCATGTGAGGTTTCATTTGAAATGCTAGGCGTAGAATGACAATGATTAAGTAGCTCATGGTGATTTGCAATATCGAAGATTAGGAATTACCGCATAGGATATTATTTTCGCGGGTGGGGGTGGGAGGGGGGATGGGGGCAGATATTATCGCCATTTCGAGGTACAATAAATTGATCGCGAAAATTAAGCTCAGGAGATAATGAGATCTGTGTATACAACATGTCCTTTTACACCTTTTACATCATGAGCGAGAAATTTTAGATTCGTTAAAATATAATTCGATCGTTTGAAACGACAATCGCGAAAATTTTAACCCGTGAAAAGTTACGAGTTATGATGTATTTTAAGAAATACAGGATATTAATGAAATATGGATTGATTTTCAATTATTGAAATGTTGAAAGCAAAATGGATGCATTTTTCACAGCAATTATATAACACATTATTATTGTTTTTCTCTATCAATTTTGATTTGTAAGGATGCGATGATATCCTCAAAGGTAAAACAAAATACTCCGAAATTTATATCCTTTGCAATAGTTTGTATGTTAGTCGTATTGCAACACAGCCTGCTATAAAAAAGAAACGTAAACATGGAAAAGTATGAGTATAACTCTGAACCAAATAATGATAATAGCGTAAACATTATGATAGAAAACTTAACTAGGAATTATTGTTCTAAATGGAATCTTAATAATGATAGAGTTCAAGATATACAAATGCACAGCACATTCTTTAGAAACTATGCAGTATTGGAATTTAATACATTTGTAGAAATTTGTATAAGTGCACCTCCCCCTATACTGTTTTGACATTTTGTTTGCTTTTGATATTGTTCATGGTATTACAGTAGTTCCTCCGGATTGCCCGGTAGCTCCAGTAGCCCCTGTAGGTCCAGTAGCCCCCGTATCTCCGGCTTGTCCTATAGCTCCACCAGACCCTGAAGCTCCAGTAGCCCCTGTAGGTCCAGTAACCCCTGAAACTCCAGCCACTCCCGAACTTCCAGTTGCTCCTGTAGGACCTGCTTTACCTGTGGGTCCAGTAACTCCAGCTGCTCCGGTAGGTGACAATCCATTTGATCCTGTTACTCCGGTAACACCAGTGGCTCCCGTAGCGCCTTGAAGACCCGGTGGACCTTCATTAACGTTTGTCGAAGTTAGCACAAGCGCTCCTGCAATGAAACAATAACATTTTCAAACGTATTCAAATCATGTCCCAAGATATTGGTTGAGGAAAGCGATCACCGCTTCTATGTTTTTTAATGGCACTTTCAATATGATCCATGATAATAATTTGTCCTTTAGTAATGATTTTTCTGACATTTCTGGGATAATCTGGTTAAATCCCCTTTGTCTCAACGCCTAACAGTTTCCTCCAACTTTTTACCGTACAGATCTTGATTGTAGAGTATATAAAATTTGCAATACATCTGTTTAAATTGTCCGATCTTTTGATTCCAAGGAATAAGAACATATACAACTTTGTTCGAAACATTATATTGATTTGTTTCGTTTTGTTGATATTTCTTGGGGATTTTTTTTTATCGGAAATTGGAAAATTGAATTTATCGCCTCCACTACTTAAAATGTGCAAATTTGCGAACATTTATATAAAGAATAATACGGACTTCTTGGATCCTTTTGATAGCTCTTCATGACATTGTTGACATGTGCAGCTTTGGCGATAACAGGTGACATTAATATGTCATTCAACATATTATAGGATCCCCCTTTTCGGTCTAATTGTCCAGTTTTTTTGTTTTTTGTTTTTTTCATCTTAATATTCATTTTTGTTGCGAAATTATACGCAGAGATTCTTATCGTCGAACAATGGAAATGCATTTGATTTGGAGCAATACAATTTTAGCGCATTATCACCGTTTGGCAATTAGTGCAATGATGAATGTTTGTATACATAAAGGTTGCTATATAAACATTATTCAGGAATAATCACAGTTATATTACAGCGCAATACTTTCAGCAGGAAAAGCTAAACTTCTCGCTAATATTTGTTCGCTTACAGTATCTTGTTTCAACATTCTTGATAAGAAGTCTGAAAACTAAAAGGAAATAGAATATTATAAATAACAAAGTGTATCAAATATCAGACCAATTATTTATATTCAAGTATCAGCTAATAGTTCGTACACACGTTCTTTAATTTAATAAAATAGGTCCTGTTATTTCGTCAACACCTCTTGACATTTCGCCAAACGTTTGCTGTTATTTCAGTATAAGACTGAAGACATTTTACAACTTATGCTATTGTTATGTCAAAGAATGCATTTTTTAGTAAAATGAGCGTTGTTAAGAAGTTTAAAACGTGGTGCTATGTGCTACTTTTTCATACACATCTTATATCATAAAATAAGTGTTACAAAGGCGACATTATGCAAGAAAATACATATCTCGACCAAAGGTCTTTTTCATGGTGCTGTGATATTCAGTAAGTATTTACAAATCTCGTCCGTTCGTCTTCATAATTTTTCGAGGAATTACAAATTTAGGTTATTCAACTTAATTCTTGCGCTATGAAAAAAATCTTCAGTAAGTTATATAATCCTGTCTATACGTCTTGATTATTTCGCCATGACAAGACGACATTTAGCAAATAATTACAAATGTCGTCCATACGTTTTCATTATTTCCCCATAAAAAACGACGTCTATTTACGCAATACAAATGTCGCCCATACGTTTTCATTATTTCCCCATTAAAAAAATAACGTCTATTTAGACAATACACATCTCAACCGTACGTCTTCATTAATTGACCATGAAAAAGGACGTTTATTATGACAATACAAATTCCAAACTTGCGTCTTCATTATTCGTTATGAAAAGACATTAAAAAGAGACATTACAAATCTGATGGTCCTTATAATTGACAGAGGTTTACATCTAAACATAAATTACTATTTTATGGAGATTAAAACCGATTTAAACGAAATCAATTGTTTATTACCGACAGTGAAATCTGAGGAGTGAAACAACCATTTTCTTTACCATAAAAAATGATGAAATAATAGTCACGTGTTGGATGATATTTGTGATACATTAATCTACATTTTGTTATTTCTAGTGTATATAAAGGTGTGTTACTGCGGAAATTACGGTCATTCGGGTACACGCTGACAAAACTTATAGCCCACCAACCCCCCAGCCCTCCTTTCCTGGGGCAAAATGTGGCATAATCCATCTCATGATCGTAACAAACGAACGTGGAACGAACACAGTACTCCTTGTTCATATCCAACACCCAAATAATGGGTTTTTTCCTACCCACTACAAAACCCAAAGAGAGAAGCTCCACCCAATACGTTGATATAGCCACTGACGATGCTGTTAACCCAAACAGGGTCGTTGGAATTCCTCCAGGTCCTACTGTGGCCATAATCTAAAAATAAACACAAGGGTAAGGACAAAAAGAAACAAACGAATACTTTCGTGTTGACAAAATTATAATTCTAGTCGATGTTTACAAAAGATAATTTATTTTCTTGGTCATCTCTTTGCTCTCTAGTCTTATTACTTTTTTAGTAAATTTAGTAGAAAAGTAGAAATACGAAGATCGTAAGTAAGTAAGAGTCCAGCTGCTCCGAAGTTGTGCGTAGAAATAGAACAAGATCGTATTGCACGTGCAGCTAAAATTATGCCATTTTACAGAACATAACTTTGACGCTTATAAGAAATGGAAGCAGTTGATTAACAGAGGAATACTTTTACTGTCTTCTTTGTACATAATCTATTTAAAACAATATTGATTTTTTGTATTTCATTTGATATCCTTTTTCTGACGTATCAATGATATACACGGTAAAACACACTAAGATAAAGAAACAAAATTAAGAGAATATATATAACGATTTTACTAAGATAAGACAGATATAATGTTTGTTATGTCATTTTCAATTTGCCTTTATCATTAAAATTATGTTGATACACAAATAATTTATGTGACATTTCGAGGTTGTGAAATAATTTAATATTGCAATCTATGGTATCTAATGAGTTTGTGAAGACTGTATACATGTGTATACATTTTTTAACAATTCTATTTTTCATCAGTCTCCTCCAAGATTTTAGCAATTTTAGCCCTATACATAATTGACGTGTCATACAAACACTAGAAACCCTGTTTAATTAATCTTAGTTCATCATTTATCTGTCCTGTATCTAGTTGTTACTTTCGGTTGAAATGTGCTAAACTTTTGTGTGTTCATTGTAGGATTATTTTATTTTGTTTGTTCCTAAACGGTTTCCAATGATTCGTTACATATATTTTAGTATTTTTATATAATTTTACATTCTAAGTGATCAGCTGTAAATAGTATTGGCTCTTTCGTTACTAAAACTTTTGATATCCTTCGTTGTAAAAAGAATATTTAAAACTGATTTCAATTTCCACATCTTATCTAAAGTTTCATCTGGTGGAAAATATCGTCAACTCTTCATGGACATTAAAATGAAATCTATAAATGACAATACATAAGCTAAGAAGAGAGATTGAAGAAAGTAATACTTACTGAGTCGGCAGTCCAGTCACTTTAAAGAGATCTGGTCGATAGCACCGACGACAACGCTTACAGGGTTATATAAATAGATCGGTGTCAAGCATTGGTCAATACATCTGTCAACATCCATTCATCTTAGTTTGACGATATGGTGCGAATTTTAGGAGTGTTCACCTTTTCATCCTTTGACAAGCTTTCAATATTTCATCTAAATGTAAGAAGTATCAGAAATCAGCTAGATTTTATTGAAGATTTTACTGGTGAATTGGATGTTTTATGTTTTACTGAAAGTCACTTAGACGATAATGTTTTCATAGATGATCTACTTATACCGGTATTTCCTTCTCCTTTTAGACGTGATAGAAATTTTGCTGGTGGGGGCATTATTGTTTACGTAAATAATTTTCTAAAAGTAACTAGATTAACAGACCTTGAATATAATAGCGATGAAACCATCTGGCTACAAATCACTTTTCGTAATTCATTTATACCGTTGGCACCATTTATAGACCTGAAAATTCTGTTTTACCATTTTGGGACAATTTTAGATCAGCTATCCATTATGCGTTTGACATGTCACCAAATGTTATTATTGCAGGGGATTTCAGTGTAGATTTATTAACTGTTGCACCAACGCATGCTTTTGTAGATATAATGAATTCCCCGTTTGTCAAATGTTATATTAGAACCCACTCGTGTAGGTCATACTATATCAAGTTTACTTGATCCAATTCTTTTAAGTGAATCGCTGTCCTGTATATACTCATATATTATAGATATTGATAGGTCAATCAGTGATCATGATGGTTGTACGGTTAGTGTTAAACTACCCTTTTCTTTTAAATCAGTTTACAAACGTAAAGTTTAAGTGCATCTCTGTCCTGTATATACTCATATGTTATAACATGTAGCAACAGGTTTTAACCATGAAGCTCTGTTATCATTTTACTTCCAATGACGCCATCCCTTCTACCACCCCCATCCCCCCACGTCCACCGAACCTCTCTCTCTCACTCACTCCCATCTATTTAAAATATATTAGCCAATATTTAGGTAAATTAATGATGACTTGATATTGTGATTTTTTTGTTTTGTAATGTATTGATAAAATGACAACTAAAAGTTTAAATAACTTGTTCCAGATCCTTTTGTAAATAATTTACAAGAAAATATGATTAATTTTAAAAAAAGATTCATCATCAATATGAAAAGACTGTAATTTACCCCAAATACGGACACTTCATTGACTACACTACTTGATTTAAAGAACTGATTATGTTTAGGATTTACATTGAAGCATTGATCAATTTGTTTTTAGTCTCATGCTTGCGTGGAAGAAGATCCTGTTTGCAAACTGAATGATTGCGCTTAAAGTTCATTTCACAGAAAGGTTAAAAACAAATACACCACCTAAATGTATAAATTGAATAATTTAATGAAGAAAGTAAATTTCTATAGCAAGTCACTACGCGTAACAGTTTGTGTGACAAGACGTATTCAAAATCCATTCACGAACGGGCCCGTCACATTCCACTAGAAAATGTGTAAAAATACAAAACAAAAACAAAAAACTAACACATTTTACCCCTGATAAATCCGTTATTTATTCGTTGTTTATTGTATTTGTACATCGTAAGATACTTGAATGTTTTACGAGGTTGTAGTTCGTTGTTTGTTAAAAGGGACTAAATGGTTAGATTTCGTTATTTCCCCCATGCTTTTGGTTTCAGGCAAGTATTGTAATACTTAAAATAAGGCTCTTTACAAAATTATAACTCTCTCTAATAGAAATTGATAACGATTATCAGCTTTAAACAAGCGCTAGTCGACACTAGCTCTTGTGTCTACAGACTATCGCTGTTTTGATTGGAGCCTCTTTTCAACCCGCCGCTTTAATAAGATCTTTTACTCTGTATGTGATTGTGTAATTTGCCAAAACTTAATTTGCTAGCCATGTTTCAATTCTTACTTTGTAAAATGATCTTTCGTTTCACGCTATACGCGTGACAGAATTAATGTGAATTAATCTGAATCTAAAATTGCATACACAAAAACATTATTTACTCTCTTCGAACGATAATGATATGAAATGGTGTTGCGTCGCTCCTGTTTTCGACGTTGTTCAGGAAATGGTTATGCAAACTTTAAAATATTATGATTAATAGAAAGTACACAATTTTAAACAGATATTTAAGATGTATCTATCGGTTATGAAATGGATATCTAACATTTCAATCCATTTAAATCATTGAATGACAGCGATCCAGACATCGAGTGAATCAGGCATCGAGTGAACATGTAAACAGATATTATATTCATTGAAGACGAATCAGAAAGCTGCTTTTTTTCGTACAAACAAAGAAATTACAGTAATAATCTAGTGATAATATCTGTATTAAACATGTATAAGTTTCCCCGTAACACAGTTGTAGGAACTTGAAAAGTTATGTAGATCTTCGTTTTTCCTTTATTTATTTTTGTCTTTCTTCATGAATAATTTTTGGTCAAAGATCGTACGACCAACAGTGTCCGTGGACAAAGTTTACAATACTCCGTTCTTTGACCAGTCAAATCATCTGATTATTCTTAAGTTGTGAGTTTTAAAATCAAGATTTTAATGGAGAAAATGAAAGGTAACTCAGGGCATTAGGCTATTGGTTTGTAACATAAACATGTAGATAACATGCGGATTAGAATGATGTTTTCTACCGCTTAGTGTGTGTAAAACCGAAAAGTTGTGAATATTTTCATGATACAAGATTTTGATTTAATAATTATTTTATTGCATAAAGTTCGTACAATAGGATTGGACACAAGTTTTACTAACTAATAAAGCCCTCTCCATTACATAATTTATACACCAATACTTAAACAACAAGCAATGTAACAATATATATATAATATATATATATATATATATATATATATATATAATAACTTTTGATTGAAACATTAGGGAAGGACTGAAGAGAAGGAGGGAGGGTAGGTAAGGAGGGAATAAGGCCGTATATGTTACAAAGGAGGAAATGTGGGGAATGCAGATAACTAGCCAAATCGCTCAAACGCATCAATAAATATTTGAACAGCCATAGCTTCAAGCGAGTTTTCAACTGAACTTAGCCTTACGTCTCCGTTGAAAAGATCGTTTATCAAAATATCACCGGATACCACGACAGTTCGGTAGATAGGGTGTTACGAATTTGCATATAGTTGGTACCGTGAAGTCAGTAATGAAAGGAGTCTTCGGAGGGAAGCCCGCAGGAGCAAGATGCAGAGTTCGTGAGATTGGCTCTGAACAGGTCAGAATTGAGTGAGTTTGCTCTATTTCTCAAACGACAATGAAGAATATTTAGCTTACGAGGACCATATGATAAAAAACACGGTTTAAGCTTGTTGGTGCTTCTTGTGCATAGTTTGGTTTTCAACAAATTCAGTGAACCAACAGTTTTTAAAGACTCATCTAATCCATTCCAGAGATTGAAGACGGTAAATTTTCTGTCGTAACTGATATGCGTTTCTGCGTTATACTTAGTGAGATTGCCAATATGTTCAGGAAGAAAATCAGCGAGGAAAGATGTCGTGGTCCCGTTAATAGTATAAAAAATGGAGAATTTTCGATGTTGACGTCTTAATTCAAGTTCTCCTAACCCGTTTCTCTTCATAGTAAGTCAGATCTAGTATATATGGGTAAACCGGTCACAATTCGGACTGCCTCTAGTTGGATTTTTGACGATATTTGATGACATAATAACTCCACAATTATCCCGTACTTCGCAAGCGTAATCTAATAATGGCCTTATGTATACGAGATACATTGTTTTGAAAGTGTGTCTGTTAATTTTAATCTACGTCAAGTTGCTATATATTTAGAAACCCTTCT